TTATGTTTACGATGCATTTTGCTACGTCAAATTTCTTCCAGCATTCCATAACACTCATATCAGGATTACACTCCATATTATCTATATGATATTGCGTTAAACACCTTTTGGAATTGTGTATGAAATTTTAGATCCGCGAATAAAGCAATTTTTTGCCGCGAATAAAGAAATTGGGTTGCATTTTTTTAATCCGCGAATAGTGAAAACGCGAATAAAGGAAGCGCGAATAGGGAGCTTTTACTGTAATGAAAACGGTTGTCGGAAGCCGTGGAAGATTTTTTGTTGTATCGCATCATTCGTGGCACCGCAGCATTTTTTTGATTGAGATAAATAATTAAAATGATCAATCCTAATACTAATTAGTAATTAACACTCATTTGAACTGGTAAGCAACCAGAGATTTAATTTAATAAAGAGTAACTTCACTAATTAATTATAATTGTATAAGTCTCGAGACTTAAAAATTAAAAATATTGTGCGGTGGACGAAAATCCGTAAGTCTATTAGAAAAATCCCTTTAAAGACTAGCCGATTTACCTATAGAAGTACCTTAATCACTTAAACTAAAGTGTTTCAACCAGGACTCGAATTCCGTTGTGAAAATATTTCGGTACGGATTTTTTTAAATTATATAATTATTATTTAATTTCATAGTGTTGGCCTAGTGGCTTCAACGTGCGACTCTCATCCATCTAAGGTCGTAGGTTCGATCCCCAGCTGTGCACCAATGGACTTACTTATGTGCGCATTTAACATTCGCTCGAACCGTGAAGGAAAACATCGTGAGGAACCCGTTGTGCCTTAGACCCAAAAAGTCGACGGCGTGTAGGCACAGGAGGCTGATCACCTACTTGCCTATAAGATTGACAAATGATAATCGTGAAACAGATACAGAAACAGAGGCCCAGAACTAAAAAGGTTGTAGCGCCACTGTTTTTCTTTTTAATTTAATTTGTTAATAATTTTCTGTCCAAAAATTTGCACCAATACGGTGTTGAGTTGTACTTCTGATGGCTCATGATGACCCTGGTCTCCAGTGAGAACTGGATTTATATTAAACAATACATCATTGTTAATATTTACCGACCGTGACGATACGTGGCTTATGGGATTTAATTAATTCACTTGTTTATTTAATTTGGAAATCTCTGACGCATTAATGTCAATGACTTCAATGAGTATTTTAGAAGAGATTATCTGATATCAAACTACGACCGCAGCTCTTCCGGCATGGACTTCGTATACACAAGTTTGGCAAGCTTTTTTTAGATTAAAATAATTACAGTTCAGGCAAGTTATAGGTAAAGAAATAATAATATAGCTTTTACATGGTTAATTATCTGTTATGTGTCAAAACTGACGTTTTATTTAAGTGAAGTCGTGAGAGTTTGTTAGTCTGTGGAAAAAGACGCGAGTTTTGGCTTGTCACTTGAATTTGTTTTTGTTTGAACACTTTTTTTGATAGGAATTAGATTAGTTTTTGGTTCATGATTAGTTTTTAAGATATTTTATTTAAAAACTATTTTCACTCATCATTCATAAACAACCACGATTATTAATTCTCTTTTTGGAAGCTTCACTAACAAAAGAATCTTACGGTACAAGGTTCCTCCTCTCAACCAAAACCTATTGATGGGAATAAATAACAATATCTTTAACGTACGAAGTTTATAAATGAATTTGTTTCTTTCTGTCAAATTGAATTGTGCTGTAACGAAAAGAGACACCTATAGTTAAAGTTGTATAATGAGTTCGATATTTATAAATCTAAGTACCCGATGAGGCAACACAATATAGGAAACGATATAATCAATTCGTTGGCACAGCTCTTATATAAACGACATATTTTGTTCTTTAACAGGAAAAAACATTTGAGATCTTCTAAGATTCGCATTCTAATGCGAAACGAAATGTCTTCCGCGATGATTGGTCGCGCATTCTATTTCTTATTGAACAGATACAGTTGCTCACGTAGGTGTCACACTTTACACTAAGTACTATACGACAAATATTTTGTAATAGTAGGAATTATAGTTTTACGGTTTAAATAATCGTGGTATAAAATTCTTGTTATACCACGCTGTGGTTTGACACAATGATTAATCTTAATTAATATTTCCATCCTCTACTTCTCGACGCCTGGCGTTCCACAACACAGCTACTCCTCGTCTCTTTTTGGAATCAGCTGAATTACAAGAAAAGAGCGTATCATTCTCTAAAAGACCGGCAATCCACCTGACTATTTATTTTGACTTTCAAAGGGGCCTTTTTAAGAGGCCTAATTGAAATAAATTATTTGACGCTGACTTTTATCAATGAACTTTCATTCTTGCACAGGTTACGGGTTACGCGAAAACAAAAACAAAACGAAAAATCTTACATTATATTGTTTAAACACCTTAGACCAGTCTTTCGCAACGTCGGTGCCCACGGGGGGCAATTTGATTGTCAATGGGGGCAAACGAAATCGGCTGGATGTAACACAACGTGGAGACTTGAGACGGAATCTTATATAAAATCTCAAGCGCAAGGATCTCACTAAATTAAAATAGTAAATTAGTGTAAAAAAGTCTTACAATTATTTGGAATTTTAATATCAGTTTTTCATTATATGTTTTTTAAATTTACTTACTCTGTTTCGTATAACAATTTCCTAGTAAATTCTATACCTATCATTTAAGTTTCTTAAGTGAACAATTAATATTCTTAATAATCAACATTATTTGTATTTCATAGGGGGCATAAGAATTTAAAAAAATGCTAAAGTGCATGGCACAAAAAAGGTTGGGAAACACTGCTTTAAACCATTGACAACGACCATCTGAACATCACACAATCACCATTTCCATACCCTTGGTAAAATTTGAGTTTTTCACATTATTTGCCAATCTTCGACTCTGTATTTTCTTCTGTTGACTTTCTTGTCCTATTTTCCAGCAACTCGTATTAGCTTATTTTCTTTTAGTATTTATGTTGAAATACTAAGTAAATTGTGATATTTATTAGATTTTTGTATTAAGAAACATCAGTGACGCATTTTATTATATAACTATGTTAGTTGTAGAGTCATGGTCAAAGCAAGGCCACACGCCTATATGTACATACATAATTACAATAACAATAATCATATAGTGACTCAGTCGTTGTAGCTGTGAATCTCTGTTCGTTTCTAAAGGAAACAATGTTTATTAATCCCTTAATAAAAATATTCTTTTAAACAAACATAGATAATATATCTCTAACTTAGGGAAAGGGATTGTGAATAAAACAACTTTATTCATTTGGGTAACCAAGTACACTTATAAACGTCAAGAGAAAAGATGTTAAATTGATTCTAAATTTACATTCACTACCAGTTCGCAAGTCAAGGGCGTAGACCGGGCAAGAAGAACTGGCAAGAAATTCTCCGCCACTCTATAGATAGACATCATTTTAATATTGTCTTTGATTTCAAAATAACTAAGATAAGAATATTGTATCAGTTCCCATGCTATTGTACCATATAAACGTCGACCATTTTAGCGTCTACATCATGCCGGCTTCTTCAACATTGGAGCACTGTTAAATGTGCTCATAAAAGTCAATTGGTCCGATTTCAGGGTTGAGAGAGAACCCTAACACTGCTTACGTGTGCTGCTGCTTAGATTATGTGTGACTTGATGAGGTAACTTGTTGCTGAAAAGCTCTCGAAACGTATATGAAAACAATTATAAATCCGAATTTACAGCCTGTTCCAGTTATATGTACAGAATTGTGTGCTTAAGAAATAATGTTCCTCAGTCATTAATTGTTCATGCATGGCTTAACCCAAATTTCTGTACTCAGAGACCTGTGAAAACTTTCATTTCAATTTCAGTGTGTGAATAGTTCTCATGAATGAAGTAGCACAACTCGCTTATTAAAATTACTATTCCATTATTATTATTATTCAATTATATATTATACTATTAATTTAACATATATTAATGTATTAAACTATTAACGTACAACTTATCAAATTTTAAGTCAAGTGGAAAGTTAGTCAATCACACACATAATTTAATGCACAACCGGGAATTAAACGTACGAACTGAAGGTTGCGAGTCGCTTGAACCATTAGACCAACACTACTATAAAATTTATTAACATTGACCAACGTAGTGTAATACGTAGCGTATATGATTATAACAAGTGGAATTTTAAAATATTCAAATTTCGAATCGGAAAACGTCCCAAGTATTACGTGTAGAAAGCTTTACACAGGAACGATTTGCGTGTGAAAATACAACCGCATTGGACCGAGACATTGTTCTCAAATCGAGTTATTACAGCTTCCTTTGTTTTTGATTGCGATAGAAATAGATTGAATTGTTACGTAGTAAGAATTTCTTGAGAACTAGAAAACACATTAATAATATATTTTGATGACAACTATTTAAAAGTTTAAATAATTATTTATCTCTGTTTTTTAATGGAAGCCTTATTAAATAAAAATAACCAGTGATGATACAATCATGACCATTTCTCAATTTAATAGGCAAGTAGGTAGGCCTCCTATGCCTGACACACGCCGTCGACTTTTGTCCTGTATCTGTATCCTTCACCATTCGAGCGAATGTTAATTGCGTATAGAGAGAAAGTCCATTAGTGCACGGGGGGATCGAACCTATGACCTCAGGTTGACAGTAGCACGCTGAAGCGTTTGTCTTATATACTCTGTCAAAATTTCAAATTCTTTGCGATCTGTTACAATATCAAATGCGACTTGAAAATGTTAAATCAACACGTTTCCGTCACTTCTTGACACAGTGACACGACCACGCTCCTCGAATCTTTTCAGATCAGTTTCAGCAGTGACTTCTTTAAAACGTATGACATACATCCCCACCAGGCCCTTTGTCTCGTGACTGTAGTGTTTTTCCTATCACAATTAATCAAAGATATCTTATCTGCGTACGCAGCGGCCGCTAATTAAATTACTTTTTGCGTAGACGTGAGGTGCGCGCGCCAGTGACGTCACGATGCGGGGTTGGTACCTATTCCTGGCTGTTTGCCTCCTGGATGTCATTGCCGCTCAGGGTCCCGAAAAGCGTGAGTATTTTTTTGTCAATTTTTTTTATCATTTCAATTTCCAATTGTAATATATTGCGATAAAATTATTTTTAAATTTGGGGTAAACATTTTGTTTTTAGTTCGCTTGCAAAAAATTTGAAAGTTAAAATGTTATACATAAATTGATAGCTTTGGAGTCATAAGTGCATTCCTAACTAACTGATATTAAAGTGGAAGGCTATTATGATAAGGTAAGGTGACCCAGAAATTTTATAATTTTACACAAATTGCAGAATAAAATAAATATTTATTTATTCAACCAAAAACAAAAGAATCGAATTTCGTATTTTTTTATTTAAAAAATTTACCCGAAAATATATTTTAAGTTAGTAACAGCCCGTTTAATTTCCAATTTAAAGTAGAATATACATACAGCTTAGATTTGTTATATATACATTTCATTTCATAAACTTATTTTTAAAATAAAATTCAAGGGCCATAGACAACTGAACTGGAAATTATTTAATAAATCTCTGATTTTGAAATTGTGTTTTATAAATACCTCCTCCAATTTTTAACCATTTTTTTCGATAGCCGCCCGTTAACCCTAATCGTATATGCCAAGTGTAAAATATGAAATACTAATTTCTTTTTGCTTAATTTAAAATCAGTTCACTGTCGCATTAGTTTGCCTGATTAAACTCGCTAAATTCTTCATAAATAGCTAACGGAAGCACTCTTTCTTCTCTTTCTGTCAAATAGTGTTTACACAGATAGCAAGAGACAGATACTACTTTAGTTACACCGTTAAAATATGTAATATTATTATTTATAAAAACTATGCCAATCTTTTTACTAACTGTTTAATTAGTAGACTTTTGTGTGAAGCTGTTTTGACTTTTGACTACGTAACGCGGTCTCGACTGAATCTTATCTTAGGTTCTAGCGGTTTAAAATTGTCTTCACAATAATATTAATTAAAATGTTATATTATAACGATGTGACACGTAATACTATCGTTATATAACGATCACGCTTTCTTGTTAAGATAATGTTTCATTTGATTGATTCGCTATGAAAGTACGGAAATAAGTTTTAGTATCGTAGCGAATTTTTAAAATTACTTTTTTAAATTAACGGCAGTTTCTTATCTAAAAACTTTCTATTAAAACATTTTATTATAAAAAACTGATTTTATATATTTTTTATTAAATGAGTTACTCTTGTTGATATTGCGGATTACTTGGATTAGAATTTCAGCGAAAGAATAAATACTTAAAAAAAGACTCAAAAATTAATAACACCTTTAATTTGTTATTGACACTTTAATAAGCACATAGGTAACTTCTAATTACTTTTGCTTATATAAATAAAATAACACACACAATATTGATACCCAACAGGTACACACACATACACACTACTGTATGTATATGTCTCTTATATATATATGTATATGTCTCTTCCATAACAAACTTAATTATAAATTCCTTAAAATATTATTTTTTGAATTTCCTATACGAAATTTCAACACACACCATTTTTTTTTCATTCGTAAACAGAACCTTGACTATTTACGCAATTAACATATAAGTATTATATGTCAATATATGTATACATTGCGCCAAATACAGTGTTTGCCAACATTGGCCAAGAATGGTACAACTGGGTCACATACTTAACATGTACTTCGCCTTATCGCTATAATTTAGTTAAAAATCATACACAATCTACGTTTACAACTATAGATATATAAAGGGCGTGTAGATATGTATACAAAATCCGTACACAGTAACTAACATTACTATACTTCGTCGTGATCTCGGGATCTCGTGAGATCGTAGGTTCGATCCCTGGCTTTGCATCAAAGCACTTTCTTTCTATATGCGCATTTTACATTCGCTCGAACGGTGAAGGAAACCGGCCTTCCTGAGACCCAAAAAGTCGACGGCTATCTCAGGCACAGGAGACCGATCACGTATTTGCCTGTTAGATTGACATGATTATGAAACAGACATAGAATTCTGAAGCCCAGACCTAAAAAGGCCTAAAACGAATTCTATTCAAACGAATGTTCGTGCTTTCGCTTTGCTTATTTTGCTTCGTTCAAAGTTACCACACTTCTGATGCTGTAAGGCATATCGTTTATCTATGTTCTATCTATCGTTTCTATTATGCGTTCCTACATCAGTCAGTGGTATTACTGTTCGTATTGCATTTTACATATTGCTTGCCCCAGGGAACGGAGGCGTAAAAGCAAAATCCAGTATCTTTAAGAAAAATGAAAGAAGGATATCTATTAATACTAGGATTATACTACATATACAAATATATATATATACATTATACATATATATTTTTCCCTATTCGACGATTTAAACATTATTGTTATGTATTTAGTGTTAATAGTAAAAAAAAACGAATATACATTACAGTAATTCATCTAATTAGACTGAAGAGCAAAAGCGTTTTACGATTGTTTCCCTGTTTAAACATAATTACGGAAGACACAGTAACCGCATATTACGACGGTAATTTTGACGAATGTCTAGAAGGTAATAATTAATTACCTCTCTTTTCACGGAAATATTATGACCTTGGTGAAACGGAGATATATTATTACTTCTTAATGGTTTTTAAACTGTCGCATTAACTTTTATGATTATTTAGTAGAATTACAATCTAAACTAAAACTATCTTTATGGTTGTTGCGATCTTTTTCAGGAAAGTCAAATTTGGTAAACGGGTATTCCTAACATTGTGCACAAATAATTTCCGTAGAATGAACCACATGCTCGTGTTACGTAGGTAACACTGAAAATGTTTAGAATTGGCCAGTTAGAAACATTGCTATTAAAAAAAAAATTCAATTTAAGAACTCTTTGGTAACCTGTAAGTATATTGCATCCATTTGTCATTTGTTTTTGTGAATTGGCGGCAAATCTAAAACTCTTGTTAGACGTGAAAATGAACCTAACGCGAGAAAATTTTCGGTCAATGATTTATTATGACTTTCGTTGTGGGCTTGGACTCAACAACAAAGCTATGATAGGCTGCGATCAGCATATCTTAAGGACATTCTTAACATTTTGAAAAATATCATTTAATCATAAATGCTGATAAAAGCCAAGAGGCTGAATGCAGATGGGTGGAAAAAAGAAAAATAATATGGATATGAACGAATTTATATTATTTACATAGCACAAATACAGTTGTTTTACTATATTTGTACAATTCAGCTTCGTTGTTGACATCCCCACTGCACAATTGTCTCATAAAAACATCAAAGAAGTGAAATTCCTTGCCCCTTCCATCTTCTCTAGACAGTATAATATGGGTTCATTTAAGCGGCAGTTAAATAGGCATCTCCTGAACAGGCTTGTCCTCCAATAGGCCACATCTCGCTGAACATCATCGAATTGTGGCCAAAAGTCTGTCCAATTCTCTAAAAAAAAACAGTAAATAACTCGAAAATTAAAAAACGTGAAATAAACTAAGTCATTAAATGCGATAGTACATAGCGGTTCCCAAAGATTTATTGGTAGAAAGTGTAGAGATGGTTGATATTTCGCGTCGCTTGATTGCGCCGGATTGAGATTTTCACAGTTATTTTGTACCGTAATGCGATTTTTTACAGACGCTTTACTTTTTAGACTGTGCTTTATGGTTCGAATTAACACAAACAATGAGTAGTTTTTCTCAATGTTTTGTTCAGGCGTTTGTCGAATTGTTTCAAATTTAAAAGCGATTCTAAAGGTGTGGCTTCAACAAGTACGGGGACTTCTTCTTGAACTGGGTTCTACTTTCAAAATACCAGTGGGATTTTGGAAATAAAATCCATACAGGCTATGAAACTATATCGTTTCAATATCTTTACTCTCTCAACGAATTAGTATTACAATACAGCGAGGAAATACAGAAAGTGACGTCACAGGGACCAAACTTTTTAAATTCACTTAAGTGTTCTAATTAATTTTTAATAATATTTATTATGCAGGTTATGATGGTATTATCACCTACATATATCAATTCTATTATTCTAAGTCAAAATAATCTATAGAAATAGAAGTGAATTGCAAAATAGACCAATTGGAGTAGTCTTTTTTAATGAATAAAATAAAAAAATTAAATCAACCCTAATTGGGTTTGGGCCTCAGGCCTTTCTTAATCTGTTTTATGATCATTTGTCAATCTAATAAGCAAATAGGTTATCAGCCTCCTGTGCCTGAAATACGCCGTCGACTTCGAGTGAATGTTAAATACACACATAGAAAGAAAGCCTATTGGTGCACAGCCAGGGATTGAACCTACAACATCAGGAATGAGAGTTGCACTCTGAAGTCACTAGGCCAACACTGCTCTAAGTTTTTTAGTACTTCAGTTACTTCGGGAAAGTGAACATTTTGATGACAGTTAAATCCCCTCTAAAACACTTGTCAGCCTAATATAACCTTGAAGTTGTATTCGAAGGGTATGTACCTACTATGTTGGCGTTATAGTGACAAAAGGTATAATAAAATAGTCAAACAATAAAGTTTGCGTACGTCTCCTGATATAGATTGTGTGTAAACAACGTTATCATTACATTATGATAACAAAGTATCTACCGGGACTTGTCGCAATTTTCGTCAATGTGCTAATTTAATTTATTTTACATTCAAAGTCAAAGTCAAATCATTTATTTCAATTAGACCATCTAAAATGGCACTTTTGAACGTCAAAAAAAATACAAAGAAGATTCTAGTTGCCCCTTCCAAAAGGTAGTTTCGTGTGGAGAAGAATGGGCAAGAAACTCCACACTTACTCTTTTTAAAATAGGTTTACAATATTTTGTTACATTTGTTAAATAATTATATGTGAAGACAATGTACTCTTAGAATAAACTACTATACTAAAAAAGTTAGTATACATGCTCCTCACATATTTACAAATATCGAAACCGTAGAATATTAACATTAAAGAGTAATAAAAATATTAAAAAAACACAACAAAACAGTGTGTGAGATACAATAAAATAATTACATTTGTAGCATTATAAATTAAAAAAAAAGAAATAACAAAAATATGTTAAAGCAAAAAATCAGCAATCAATTTGATTTTGTCCAGGCTCTATGATTGTCCTATGGAGCAGGACCAGCATGTTTCCAAGCATTCTTATCTTGAATATAATCATCTAATTTGTAATATGCTTGTTTACAAAGTGTACTTTTAATAAAACATTTAAATTTTCGTTAATTTAGTTTTAAAATGTCACCAGGTATTTTATTGTAACATTTCACTAGGTAGGTATTAAACTAGGTAGATGTCTATATATATAAGCACGTCTCCCCTTTATCCGTGACATACCCTCAGTAATTCAATACGTTTCTGGCATACTATACATATGTTATATGTACTGTACGAGCCAAGGCTGTCGCTTGCTGTCGGATTGTAATTTTGACTTTTTAGATTCGTATAGATATACATAGATAATCATACTATAATAATACAATAATAATATAGCCTTTAAATTCCGAACCTCTGTGATTTTATATATATATGAACTTTATTATATTTTCACTCCAGTATTATCTCGGAGTTCGGTGTGCCTCTTAGCAAAGGCCTCCTCTAACTCTTTCCACTGTTCTCTATCTTTTTCGACTCTTCTCCAGTTGTAGCCTGCTGTTAGTTTCAGTTCGTCCTCCCATCTCTTGCGTGGTCGGCCTCTTCTTGGTTTTCCGTCTCTAGGGTACCATTCCGTCAATATTTTTCTCCATTTTTATTTCACTCAAAAAAAAGGAGATAATCATACTACTATAAAAATATACAAAATATTCAAATTACAAAAAATAAACAAATACCAGCTTAAACTGGCTATATATGTATTAGAGGCTTCAATTTTAGTAATAATTTACACTATTATTTACCATACATACCGATAATTTTATAAAGCGGCATAATTCTACATGTAGCCTTGAACGTGAACTTAATTTGAGTTTTTTAATCTGACATACGAAATCGTGGGTACCTTAAGGTCGATTTACATCAAACGAACATAGAGCTAGAGCTAGAACAAGAGCATTCTTTCGTAATCTTTTAGTGTAAACGAAAGCTAGAGGTATCGATTTACATCAAACGAACATAGAGCTAGAGCTAGAACAAGAGCATTCTTTCGTAATCTTTTAGTGTAAACGAAAGCTAGAGGTATCGATTTACATCAAACGAACATAGAGCTAGAGCTAGAACAAGAGCATTCTTTCGTAATCTTTTAGTGTAAACGAAAGCTAGAGGTATCGATTTACATCAAACGAACATAGAGCTAGAGCTAGAACAAGAGCATTCTTTCGTAATCTTTTAGTGTAAACGAAAGCTAGAGGTATCGATTTACATCAAACGAACATAGAGCTAGAGCTAGAACAAGAGCATTCTTTCGTAATCTTTTAGTGTAAACGAAAGCTAGAGGTATCGATTTACATCAAACGAACATAGAGCTAGAGCTAGAACAAGAGCATTCTTTCGTAATCTTTTAGTGTAAACGAAAGCTAGAGGTATCGATTTACATCAAACGAACATAGAGCTAGAGCTAGAACAAGAGCATTCTTTCGTAATCTTTTAGTGTAAACGAAAGCTAGAGGTATCGATTTACATCAAACGAACATAGAGCTAGAGCTAGAACAAGAGCATTCTTTCGTAATCTTTTAGTGTAAACGAAAGCTAGAGGTATCGATTTACATCAAACGAACATAGAGCTAGAGCTAGAACAAGAGCATTCTTTCGTAATCTTTTAGTGTAAACGAAAGCTAGAGGTATCGATTTACATCAAACGAACATAGAGCTAGAGCTAGAACAAGAGCATTCTTTCGTAATCTTTTAGTGTAAAAGGAAAGCTAGAGGTATCGATTTACATCAAACGAACATAGAGCTAGAGCTAGAACAAGAGCATTCTTTCGTAATCTTTTAGTGTAAACGAAAGCTAGAGGTATCGATTTACATCAAACGAACATAGAGCTAGAGCTAGAACAAGAGCATTCTTTCGTAATCTTTTGGTGTAAACGAAAGCTAGAGGTATCGATTTACATCAAACGAACATAGAGCTAGAGCTAGAACAAGAGCATTCTTTCGTAATCTTTTAGTGTAAACGAAAGCTAGAGGTATCGATTTACATCAAACGAACATAGAGCTAGAGCTAGAACAAGAGCATTCTTTCGTAATCTTTTAGTGTAAACGAAAGCTAGAGGTATCGATTTACATCAAACGAACATAGAGCTAGAGCTAGAACAAGAGCATTCTTTCGTAATCTTTTAGTGTAAACGAAAGCTAGAGGTATCGATTTACATCAAACGAACATAGAGCTAGAGCTAGAACACAAGAACGCTTTGAAAAGACCGCTCAGTGGCGCGAGCACGTCCGAACACGCTAGAACGCTCTAAGCAACTGTTCGCGCGCTCTTGCGCCGTTTACATCAAGCGAACGAGCATTCTTAGAATATTCTATAGAATCTTTGCGAACGCACTAAGAACAACGAAAGAATGCTCTACGCCTGTTTACACTAGAAGAATTTGATGTAGTGGGGATAGAATGAGCATTCGCTCGTTTGATGTAAATCGACCTTTAGACTTAGTTATTACTACGTCAATCATTCGTTTACGCAGACTTATAGCGATGGTGAATATTTTTTATTCACCTGTGATTTATTAAACTCGTAAGTTTATTTAAAACCTAGTGTTTGGGGGTTAAAAGTGAATATGGTCAATATTTCTGTGAGAATGCAAAAAATATAACAAAATTTATAAATAGTTAACTATATCCTGAAACTGATAAGTTTCTTCAGTTGCGTAACTACTAACTATACTTTCGTGGAAATTCTTTTGATGGGGCCCTATCAGTAAAAATGGTCCCTACTCAGTTTAATTTTAATAAACTGCGAGAGTTACAGTGTACTCAATTACACGTTGTATATGTCCCACTAATGGCCATAGGCCTCCTCTCTTAGGCGAGAGGGAATGGTCTGTAGTCCCCACGCTAGACGAATGCGTATTGGAGACTTCGCATTCATCCATAGAACATAATATGTCAGGGGCCCTCTTGGGTCGGGGGCCCGTGGCATTTTGCCAGCCCTGCCACTCTATTGTTACGCCACTGAGTTTCTTCCATCCCCTTCTAGTGACTTCTGTTTTTAGCAAGTCTCGTGGTTTCTATTATTCCATCGTTTTCTTCTTTGTTACTCTTTCTACCAAATTATTGCTAAGAACAAGATCAGTAATTCTATTAATGATTGTGTGAAATATTATAATTAATTTGTTAACGTAATAAATAATAATATGTTTCATAATCTAAGAATTGACTAAAATAAATAATAATATTATCATAATGTAATTATAACTTCTATGTAAAAAACTTTAGATTGTACCACCATAACATTGTTGTACCATACTCTTGTTATAAAAATAAGTCTTAAGGTGTATAAATGATTTAAAAAATTACGGTCATATTCACGTTTGAAGCCTTAAATAGAGTTTTGTCGCTATCACTCGCAAGTCATTGAAAGGCAAATAAACATGACACAGCATTCTTTAACTATTCCGTGAATTTTAAGAATAATGCCGACACTGCTTATCTTTATAATCAAATGGTTTTACTGTTAACTATATAATAATTTATCATCTGTACAGCTTGCCAGTGGATTGTATATAATCTAGTATATGAAATTCTCGTGTCACAATGTTCGTTCCCATACTCCTCCGAAACGGCTCGACCGATTCTTATGAAATTTTGTATGCATATACAGTAAGTCTGAGAATCGGCTACTATCTATCTTTCAAACTCCTACGTGACAAGGGGTGTCCACACCAAAATATTTATTTTTTAGACAATTTGTTTTGTTTTTATTTTTTTATCATACAGCACACATACAACCCTTAATTTTCAAGCCCCTACCATCAACCCCTATTTTTTATTTTTGTAGATAGTTATTTTTATTGAACTAAAAAAATGTTTCCTAGAAATAATATACATGGCAAAACGACGTTTGCCGGGTCAGCTAGTTTATATGTAAAAAATGTTTAATAAATATTTTTGTTGATTTCAGGAAGGACCGGAAACGTGTGTAACTCGGATGTCGAGTGTCCAGACAATGCTTTCTGTAAACAGAGCAGCTACTGTGTGTGTAAAGATGGCTTCGTTTACGCAGCGGTGAATAGCACGCACAAGGGGTGCTTGAAGGGTGAGAATATGTGTTCGATTAAAAAAAATCGGTTGTCTGTATAGTCGGTTTACTGACGATATTTGAACGTGACAACGTCGTAAGAAAAACTGATGGAATGGTTGCATTTTTCAAAAGAAAATTTTAATTTTATTTGTTTGATAGATATTTTGTATGGATATAGAGAAGGGAGGTAAATGGAAATCACAATTGAATTGATCAAGTTACATTTGTTTGTACGCATTAGCTTTAAAAGTTGTTTTTAATGGGTTAGTATATGTACTATTTAAGATAAAACCCTGTATCCGTAATTAAGCCGCAAGAAATGTTTATATTATCATATCAGTAAACCTATTAATTATATAGTAGTCGATTATATAACGCTAACGGAGGCCGATTGTGCCTCTTTGTCGCTCGTTCCGCGCTCTCGCTTGCACTTCAAGCCTTAAATGGAACGCCTCAGAGCGAGGTAACGCCGCAGAGTCATGTTTTTTCGTGCGTGTAGCAGGCTCCATCGAATTATAAGGAATTCGAACCTACGTCCGGGGAGGTGAGTCGCACCCTGAAGACACTAGGCCAACACTGATCTCTCTGATTAGGGAGTTTATATTACGAAGTAAACTTCTAAATGCAAGTTAGAAGTACGCAAATGGGTTTGGTTGTCTTCTTCTAATGTAAAATACTGTTTCAGAGGCTCGTAACGGAGAAGAATGCGTCCAGCACATTCAGTGTCACTCCACTATGGGAGTACATTCTGAATGTAGCAATGGTATCTGCTCGTGCGCAACAAACTCACATCTCGAGACAGACCGCTGCTATGAAACAGCTGGTGAGTTTTGTAGTACTACTCTACCTGTTTACTGAGATTATAAGTAAATAACATTAAATGATTATGAGATAGTCAAATCATCAATGCCGATTTGGATTTCGACTCTTCGTGTTTTGGCATGACTCTGAGGTTCCAAAAACTAACGCAGACTCAGCGCTCATAACAAGTCTGAGCTACACTCATATACATACACACACATCCATTCACATACTCACACATTCACGCATACTTAAGGTCTTACACTAAAATTCCTTTTTTTTAACTGTTACATGTACCACGGAATAATTGTTATCTAATTACCTACAAAACAGGGACTCCCTAATGTAGGGACTAGCGATATATGAATTTTGTCACAACCTATTTGTCATTAATAAAATTTTGATATTATTTAACTTTTCTGCAAAGATTCGACCATTGTACATTTTTGTAAACTAAAGGTGAAAGATGATATATAACATATATTGATAATATCATAGTACAAAAAGTATCTTTTTCGTTATTATTGGGAGACTATACCTTGAGTATTTATAATGAAGATTAATAAACGTAGCTCATTTCTTATTTTAAATTTGTATTTCAATTTGATTGTGCCATTATGAAAAGTGTAATGAAGGTTATTTCCTCCGTTTGTCTGTGATATGAGAATATTATTTCTTTAGACAATATATTGAAATAGGCAAGGTCTTAGAAGTATATAAATATATATTTCCTATAACATTTCAGTGATTGGTGAGCGTTGTGTCGTAGACCAGAACTGCTTTTTGGGCGAGCAAGTACTGGACCGCCAGGCCTTCTGTGTCCGCGGGTATTGTACCTGTCAGCTGCAATTCAGCCCTAGGGATAATGGAACCAGGTAAGACTGACAGAATCTTGTTAAGATGGGGTACCTGTTTGTTCAAGTGATAATAATTATTAATACGAAAGTTGAAATGTGCATGCCAATTTAAAAAAAAAATGCTGTGCTTTAAATTTACTGTTTGCACAGCACAACATTTGTTTATTAATATATAATAATTAATAAATAATTTTTGTCATTCTAAAAAAAATTTGGATATCTGTAAAGTCGGTTAACGAACGATAATTTTACGTGATAACGTCATAAGAAAACATTGATGAATGATGCATACTTTTATGAATTTAATTGAAATCAGAAAATTATTATTAATTTCTATAATACAATATTTTATTTTTATTTATTTTCGATAATATGTATATGAGATGATATCGCTAATCAAATTCAAGATAGATGCGTCACCAAACTTGTACTCGCTTGTACGCTCGGCTCAGGCGGAACATGACAATGAGTCTTGTTACGCTCAGCTCTCAGGCGAAACGTGACAATGAGTCCTATTTTTTCGTGCGTGCAGCCGGCGTTCATCGATTTATAAGACGTCAAAAATTAATCAAATCTAATTATCGTTTCAAGAGCTGTCAAACCATTTTTTTCTGTAAGAAGTTTGACATATTCGACATCAGATCGCATACGTTTTCGACAAGTAGGTTATCGGCCTTCTCTGCCACACGCGTCATAGATTTGAATCTAAGACATGCCACGATGTTTGTCTTCAATGTAAATGCAAGTGTAGAAGGAAAATTTTTTGAAACAACATTTATTACCTACTAAAATCGGTTAAAAAATCGAACTTCATTGATTTGAAACATTACATAGATATTTTATTATTTGTATTTCTTATATAATAGGCGGCAAACACGGTGCTCATCTGATGTTAAGTGATACCGCCGCATAGACACATTTCCAGAAGGCTCGCAAGTGCGATGCCGGCATTTTAAAAATTGGTACGCTCTTTTCTTGATCCGACTTAGGGTCCCGTGGTTCGAAAATAAAATAACATTCATTGTACTATTTGTGGGCAGTACTAGAAGCTGGACGTCTTGTTTCGATTCAATTGACGATCCAAAATGCATCGCTAATCAATCGAATTAACTGACTTGAAATATTTCAGATGCGTTCGAGATGCCCTATTGGGCGAGACATGCGAAGACAATTTACAATGCGCAGGCCCCGGATTGGAGTGTCGTGGGACATGTCGTTGTAGAGATAACTGGGTGGCCCATACAGAAATCAACGCGTGTGTTGAATGTGAGTCAATACTTTATAAAATAAAATAAATAGGTAAATCAGTGGCGCTACTTTTTAATTCTGGGCCTGAATTGATGATCATTTGTCATTATAATAGGCAAGTAGGTCATCAGCCTCCTGTGCCTGATACACGCCTTCGACTTTTTGGGTCTAAGGCAAGCCGGTTTCCTCACGATGTTTTTCACCGTTCAAGCGAATGTGAAATGCGCACATATACAGAAAGTCCATTGGTGCTCAGCCGGGGATCGAACCTACGACCTCAGTGATGAGAGCACGCTGGAGCCACTTGGCCAACACTGCTGTCAATATTTTATACTCTTTTAAATATGGAAATGAAATCACACTAGAAAATGCACCGACAGATTTCGCATCTATTTATCGATAAAGTTACCATCCGTCCCCAATATACCCTGTTGATTTTTGAGTCCAAAACATTTATTTATTCATTTGCAGCTTATGCCGAAGAATAATTATAATATGTAGACTAACTTACACACTACCTTAGGCTACTAAGTACTAACAAATTTTATAATACTTACATTCTCTGTCTTCCTAAAACTGTAACAAATATAGCCAATTCTGCAGAACTGCTAGTGTTAATGAATAGATATTTATATATGGTCCGTTTTTATAGAGAAATAATAATTATAATTAAAACCTTATTAATCCGGTTCACCGTAGTAAAACCTCTTTAGCATATATTTCTCTACAGTCGTTGTCAAAGACTTTTGCAGATAATAAATTACGGTTTAAATCTACAATGTATTCTATTTTTGTATTCCAGTATTTATAATCTATGAAGACTAACTGAATCTAGATTTGACTACTATAATATAATAACGAACTGATATTATCGTTTCGTATCAAAATTCGTTTAGTAATAAGGCAGGTTACTTTTGGGGCTAATTCTTTAGTTAAACTAAATTATTGTTAATATCACAATATTTCTTCATCAGTCTCGAAGAATCCCGATGTTTCGTTTGACATGTATTAACTTTTTAGAAATAAATAAAGTATATATTTAAAGATATTATTTTTCCCAGCTGCGAAAATGCTAAACGATTCTTGCCAATACGACGTGCAGTGCGAAGCCCTATCAGGGGTGGCGGAAGCCAAGTCTGTGGGGGCGGCTTTGTGTCTGGGCGGTGTCTGCTCGTGTGGATACAACGCACGACCTGTTGGCAACCCTGCCCACTGCTGGCACAGAAGACGCCCCGGTCAGGAATGTATCCGGGATGAGGTACAAATTTATTTATTTCTACTAAATAATTATATGCTTTTTACTAAATATACTTATATCCTTATATGGTCTATTAAAATAATACTGTCATGAATATTGGGTATTTGAAAAAAAAAAAATTTTGTGATAAAGGGAAAGATCATATATAAGTTTTATAACAAAACTATTTTTTTTTTATTTTTTTTCGCAATAATTCAAAAGTTATAAATAAAAATAATTTTTGAATCCAGTACCGAAAACACGCCGAACAAACCCGAGCGCGTGTGACGTCATAATGTTAGTTATCACTCATTGCAGTTGATAGAAAAATAATAAATACAGTGTTTTGATCTATTTAATTTTGTTAATTAATATTAATATTTGATATATTAAATATACTATATATATATATATATATATATATATATTAATAGCCGTAAACGCTGTACTGTTAAATTGCTTTAACATTATGACGTCAGAACATGGTGATCGATCATTCATGGCGCGTTTATAGTCACGTGATTTTTATTTAAATTTCATCAATTTTGAATTGTTTATAATTAATTGAAAACAATTTTTTTTAAAGTTTTTTGCATTAAACATCAATATTATTAACAATAAAGTTTTAAAATACATTAAAAAAAACATTTTTTTTTTCAAAAACTCAATTGACAAGATTTTAATTTTGATGATGGGTTAATTATTCAAATAAATCAGTGGCGCTACAAACATTTTATGTCTGGGCCTCAGATTTCTGTATCTGTTTCATGATCATACGTCAATCTAATAGGCAAGTAAGTGATCAGCCTCCTGTGACTGACGCGTGTCGACTTTTTGGGTTTAAAGCAAGCCGGTTTATTTACGATGTTTTCCTTCACCGTTCGAGCGAATATTAAATGCACACATAGTAAGAAATTCCATTGGTGCACAGCCGGAAATCGAACCTACGACCTCAGGGATGAGTGTCGCACGCTGAAGCCACTAGGCCAACACTGCTCTAATTGCTGCGCATCTTTAATCTTCGCAAGGCTTATACCATGTTTCTAGCGAAATTTTTAAATAATTATTTTTATGCAGTAATGTAAGTAATGTGTCAACTCAATGAATCAAGTTTTATAATATTTAAAAAATTTATTCTATTCTTATCAAAATATATAATATCTTCTCTTAATTACATGTTAAATTTAAACTATATTGCTAAATAAATGCATATCTAAAGTATCAAATGCGATCCATTATTAAACTTGTTCCCAGGAATGTGTGTCTGAAGAAGATGAGCCAGGATATTGCCTTGCAGGCCGTTGCACCTGCAAGACCTGTACTCCAGACGCAAGGGACTTTGGTGGTGCGAGCAATCTCTCGGCCCCGCCCATTTACGTAGCGGCCATCTTGTCCCTCGCCGCCATTTTGAGACACTAGCTGTCAGCTGTCACTGTCAAAATATGAAATTTACACGAACATTTCGAATAACCTTTGGGGTTACCAAACACATCTAGTGTGGAGATTAAAATTATAATTTTTATTGTTATTTTGTGCAAACATGTTATTGGATTGTTGCACAAGTTAGTTAGATTTGTTAAATAAATGTTGGTAGTTTCAAAGTTTATTGTAAGTTGTAAATAATATCGTTGATTGTTAATTAGTGTAAGTGTAGATCTAAACAGTTCTTCCATTGAGGCAGTATTTTTCTTGTGCAATTTCGTTTAAAACAGAGTAATCCTGGGTAGTTTTATACCAAAGAAATGTACACAAAATAATCTAGTGTGTAAATAAAATATTTATTTTAATTCATATTTTAATTTAATTGGATTTAACCCTGTCTTATTCATTTATATATTTATTTATAAAAGCTTGCCAACGCTCGGCACACTGATATATTGGTAAAAGAAAAAATAAAATACAAATTTTAATGTGACAAGCATTTATAGGCAAATATAACAAAAGTACACGAAGAGATAATAAAAATAATTTAAAAAAAAAAACAATTAAATTATAAAAAACACGATTTTAAAGTGTGAGGGGAGCAACTATGAATATCCAGACCCAGCTCGTTTATCAGAATGCTCAATCTGGAAATCGGTGAGTTTTGGCCAAAACGCGTTCTCCGGAAAGGAGGGACAAATGGAATGATGGGATGCCTGGGGTGTCTAGAGGGTACACGAAATGTATTTAAAAGGTTTAAATTTTGTTAAATGGTTGGGCCAATTCATAGGTTTATTATTTGTACATATTTCATTCATATAAAAGAGGAGTTTTTCAATTAAAAAAAAATAAACACACTCTCCTAGTTTAATTTCTTTTTATTAGCAAGATTGCAATTTGCCACAAATTTAAGGAGAGAAATTTGAAACAAATTTAAAAACTTTGGTCCCTGTGGCAGTGTACCTTTAACGCTGGCAGCATTTAGGAAATTACAGTGACAAAGAAACCAAACATTTTTTTTTATTATTATTATTATTACAATTTAGGTTTAAATTATATACTTTGAGTTATGTGGATTTAATAATACCGAAACATGGATACTCGTACTGTCAAGGCAGGTATTAAAATCAACTAACCATATTATTCCATAACATTCGGTCGCGGGAGACACGTAGGTATTGTTCTTGTATTGCCTGAACTGGACGTTGTGAAGGAAGCCCTAATCACTCTCCGTACACTCGGGGAGCCGGCAGAATATACTAGAGGGTTTAACGCAGAGTTGAGATAGCCCAGCCAAGTGCACCATTGCCATGCTGAGTCATTTACGCAGTCACAGACTGAATCTGCAAATAACCAAACAATATGCAAATCGAATATTTAATTTAATAGTATATTTAAAATACATTTTTTTTAGTAATGCACTGGTAGCGTATTTAATCCTGGAGCAAGAATATTTATTATTCGAATGGTCTATCTGTGGATCGATGCGTTCGAGCTGTCAAAACTGTCATGTTTCTGTATTTTTTATGCAGATAATGCAAGCTGAAACTATTGTTTCAACTACTGCATATACAGTATAGTATCTAGCATTTATGACTAGTGAAAAACTTATTTATGGACACCAAGTGTGTGTAAATTAATATGTATGAACGGACCTACAGGCAACATGATGAAGAAAGGTGCCCAGCACACGAAGAATAGCGCCATCAACATTATTATGATTCGTGTAGCGCGGCGTTGACGGGTCATTATACCGCTCCTTGAAAATACATAAAATAATTCATCATTAACTACTATTACTTATAACTAAATTTTGACTTTTTGGTTTCGAGACTAAAGCCCGATTTTCATATATCGGTGAAGCCACAGTTCCGGCAACGTCTCCGCTCAGTTCAGTATCAGTGATACAGTATTTCGTCAGTCATTCAATTCACACATGTCAGTACTCAGTTTACGGAGCTTCATTGAAAACGTGTCCGTCGTCAAGTAACGTGATTATGGCTCTGTTCAATACTACACAGCTAGCAATGATAGCTGCTGCTTTAGACAAAGAAGAGCAGCATGAAGGAAAAAGAAAATGGGTTCATCACATTATGCAAAGAATTAGTTAAAGATGAAAATGTCAGAGAGCTGCTTCAATATTCTTCTACAATAAACAAAATGTAACAAATAAAAACGCGGCTTCAGTGATCCGACAAAAAATTTCGTTGTCAAAGAATCCGTCCGTGATTGCTGGTGTCGTCACTGACACTGAGAGCACTGTGTCGTCACTGATACTGACAAGTGGGGATGCGTTCATAGAGAATGTATGAAAGAATATTTCGCACTGTGCCGGTACTGAGTCGGAACTGTGTCTTCACTGATATATGTGAATCGGCCTTTAGGTATATAAGGTAATCTACTCACATAGTTCGTGGTGACTTCAGTGGCGAAGGTAACTTAACAGTTTTCGAAGTTCCTGGAATGGTCACACGGATTCTTTTTGGTGTATGTAACTCACATCTAAAAAAAGAAACAAATATAAATGTACAGTTTTGTGTTAGGGGGAATGTATTTGTAAATATAATAGATTTTCTTTACAATATAAATATATCCATAAACAATGGAAGATCAGCGCTCGTTGTTTAAAACTATTTTTTACTATAACAAGAATTTTACTCGTTTATAATTTAATTAAAAATAAATTATTTTGAGAATTTCATATATTGCAAGAAGAGCGTAGCGGAGGCGATACGACGCGACGGGCCCCCACTCGTCTATGAATATAGATTAGGATAAGTAATATACGTGTATGTATATATAATTTCCTAATATATATTTGTACAAAATATGCGTTTTGTGAGTGTGTGTCACCACAAAATTTAAAAAATTTAAAAAAGGGAAATTGTATTGATTACCTAATCAATCAAATAACCAATGGATTTAGAAGTAGGATAATAAGGATTTCATGTGCCGATTCCAAGAGGGGGGTCTGCCCCCAAATTAGTTCGTAGTTGACAGCGCTGGCGATTTCCGTCTCACTTGCTCTCGCAGTTAAGATGCAATGGAGGAACGTACGTCTCTATCGCTCTCTCTTCTTCGTGTAGCTTATAATAGTTCAGATAGGTCTACGTTTGACTTCCTTGGCGGGACTGCCACGCAACTAAGCAGCATTTTGGGTCGCAGAATGTTCTTCAGAGCGCCCATAAGAACCTTGCTATCCTTCGTCTGAATTCGTTGCCATAACCGAGCATGCATAATGAATGTCATGAAAGTGGATGAAGCGAGAGAGGTATTTTAGGACCAGAGCAAGTGGATATCCATGTTGTCTGCCTACCCCGACGAGGAAAAAGCGTGATGTTATAAGAAAATATTTTTTTTAAAATACTACTTACATAGGAGCCATATTTCTATTGTGATCTGTAGGTTCTGGTGTTCTATCACCAGCACCTGATCTTACTTGAACTTGATTCTGTTAAAGAATATATATGTGAATTAGAAAATTAATTTGGAATCGACAATATAATGACATTTTATAAATTGTGGGGGGTGGTGAGCAACCCAAATGTTCTCCAAGACCTCGATTTATTTATACTCATGGGATATGTGCGACGGCGAAGGCCAACGTGGTTTTCGATACCAAGGACCAGAATCTGTTGCACAGATCCTCGTTACCAAAGACGTTGCGTCTACTGAATGCTGTCTCCGACACTATCGACATATTTATATGTTCGCGGAGTGAATTCGGAGTAGCGATATTTTATGGATTTATTTATTTTTTTCTCTTGACATTATTGATTATCGTATTGGAATAGTACTGTAAGGATAATGTATGTGTTTCTGTAAATAAAATAATAATTATATTTATTTGGTACTAATTATTATAACAAAAATCTTGAAAATAACAAGCAGATTGTCAGACCATCGCCTGACCCGAAGTCCCCGACGAGGCAAATAAAATTGTTTTTAACAGCATTTTTGAGTTCACAAATATCCCTTGCCAGTTGCCTTATCAGTTGCATCGTGTGTATTGTGGTTCATGAGACATGGAAAACTTCACGAGTCACTACAAAAGCGATTCTGATAGTTTTTGTACCACATGTCTTGACTACAGCGCATCTACATGAAAAGTCTTGAACACTCAGCAACGCACTTGCGAGGCTTCTGGCAATGTTAGTTTCCATGGGCGGAAATATAACATCAGATGAGCTTCCTGCCAGTTTGCCTCCTGTTACATATAAAAAAAGGAAATAAACAGAGATCTTGTAAATGTATTTACCCGAGTTTCCGGATAAGGTGATCGTCCCCTATGAACACGTATAGGTGGTGGGGATGCGAGCGCTCGAATAATGTATCCATACATCACCAACATTATGGTGGCTGGGATGTAGAAAGAGAATGAGATGCTGAAAAAGACGTACCTGAAATATTGATTCTTTACAGTTCCATCTGTGAGCATGTTACTGAACAATTGCTAACTAGAGGTAAAGACGAGTAATTGACAAATACGGTCTGGAAAATTTCTAGCCCAACATTAGACATGTGATAGGATCTAATTATATTTGAATAAGAAAAATTATCTAGGTTTAAAATATCCCTTTTTTAAAAATCTTACTTGAACTTGATTATTTTAAAGAATATATACATATATATAAATTAGAACAATCATAAAGAATCGATGAAATAATGACGTTTTATTAATTGTGGGGGGTGGTGTGCAACCCAAATAATCTTCAAAGATTAAACTTAAACAAAATCAATATTATGCTCAGATGTAAATAAGAGTAGTGTTGGTCTAGTGGCTTCAGCGTGCGATTCTCATTCCTGTGGTCGTAGGTTCAATCCCCGGCTGTACAAGAGACTTTTTGTCTGTGTGCATTTAACATTCGCTCGAACGGTTAAGGAAAACATCGTGAGGAAACCGGTTTGCCTTAAATCCAAAAATACGACGGCGTATGTCAGGCACGGGAGCCTGATCACCTAATTACCTATTAGATTGACAAATGATCATGAAAGAG